CTAGTAAGCCTGGTACTTTCTTTAAAATACAACTATAAGACAAAGCCTTAGTTTCTAAAGATCTTCCAAAATATTCCTACTGCTTCCTCAAATACAGACTGCCTTATCTCCTGCAAATTGTTTTTCTAATTCTGTTCAAGAATACCAACTTCATTAAAACTTTAAAGACTTAATCCTGAGTTATGGCTTGATGAGATCTCTGTGGGATAAAAGAAATCAAGAGATCACAGTACCCGCTATTTTAAAATGTTCTTACAATGGAAACATAATTTGTTGATGAGAGTGCACTGCGGTAGAGAAAACAGAATTTAAGAACACATACAAAATATCAGTTTAAATCCTAGGATGGGTTTCTGAAGAGAAAAGCCTGGTTTTATGTTTGTTTGGTTGGTTGGTTTTTTTAACAGTCATCAAGCCAAATACCATTTAATTAGGCTGATCCTGTAATTGAGACATGAGTCATACTTTTAAAAAAGGAAATAAAACTAGTTGCTATACATGTAAAGTATCACCTGTCCTATGAACGTATTCTCAAACGATGTATCGACCAAAATTATTTCAGTTTATAAGTATCTAATTTATGTTCCATAAATCATGTGGCTAAGCAACATTTCCCTGTTTTTGTCAGTTTTCTTCTTAAAGTTTCTATTTTCTATGATGTTCCTTCATCATTATCAAAGGATATGTTTGATAGTAAAATTTGAATGACTATGCTATTAAATACTACACAGCCACCGAAACGAATAAGAAAAATACTAAAATATTTTGAGTAACCACAATTTTATGCTATTAAATACTACACAGCCACCAAAACGAATAAGAAAAATACTAAAATATTTTGAGTAACCACAATTTTTATAACAGAAACAAGGACTCAAAAACAAGGACTCATAAAAACAAAACAAATGAAAATCAACAAAATTTAGTAAAATTATAATCACCTCTTTGATTTATTTTATCTACTCACTATAAATATACTACATCATTCTCAAGCAGGGAGGTAATATAAAACCAAAAACTTAAGTTATGAAAAATATCTCATGTTTTTTAGGTGAGGAATTTTCCTGATTGCTTTTTTAATGCTCTTGTTTGAGGGAAGGAATTAAATTATATATAAAAATACAAAAACACAAAATCACTACATAGATTTAGGCTTATCTAGCTACTCTGTACTTCCCAGAGAAGCTCTCATTTGAAAAACCAAACAGTGATACTGAATGATGGCTCCAAGGCTCCTGGCCATTCCAGCATTGAGAGATTCCGTAAACACCGTTCCCGTCTTGACGGTGCACGCTGTTCTTTACCTGCGCTAACTCCTGAGTCAAAGCATAAATAATCCCGGAGTCAATCATTTGTATAGGTGTTTCTATTCAAAAGTAAAACAAAGGTTGGAAATGAATGAGCCATGTAATTCGCATGGATGTACCAGTAGCCTAGATAACAGCAAATTAAGTGCTATCAACATTTAAGCAAATACTCCAGCAGGCCTGGCTCATACAGGTCTTTCACACATAGTTACTCAAATAATGCCCATAAGAATGCTCCTTTATTAGAAAGTGCACAAATATAAATGTTCTAAGGGCTTTTTTATGATTCAGTGACCTCAGCTGACTTACCAGTTCAAGGTCTCTAACATTTCATTTCCAAAGAGCTACAGCCCACACAGTGCCTAAGGGACTAACTATTCCTGCACTGTGTACCTTCACTGTTGGATTTATTGCTATCATGCACGCTGCTTTCGGATGGTCATTTTAGAACCTCAATTGCCTGACTTGGCCTGCGTCTCCTTCTACATTACCTCCTCTATGTTACCACAGTCCTGTTCTAATCACAAAATAATAATAATAATAATAATAATAATAATAATAATAATAATAATAATAATAATAATCACCCTTAATGGGAAAAATAAATAATCCACAAAATTAGATCCGTCCTTTGACAGAGGACACCCAGTTCATCATACTACTTTTTTCTGTGTTGTGAAGTACACAGGAAAGAAAAATTGACCAGATCTGGTTCTGGTACCAGTCTTAGCACAATCTAGCTGTGTGATCTTGTATAAGCCACCAGCTTGCTCTGGTTCAAGGATTTCTCATCTAAGGAAGGATTTTGCGGCACAGGCCCAGGGTAAGCCATCACTGTGCTGCAGGGATGGTATTCACAAAGCATCTGATGTGCCTTGGGGTTCTAGAACTGTGTGATGGGAGGTCTTGCCCTTCCAGTTCCCACGTTTTCAAATGCAGTACCATGATTTTGAAATCTGAGACCTTCACCTTCTAATTTCAGTATTCTCTCTGTGTTTAAGAAGTTTCAACATGATACACAGCAGAACTTGATGAGCTAAGACAAGAGATTGAGAGACACTCAATGTGTCAACCTGAAATCAGTAATATAACCTTGGCCTTTCCCATCTAATATTTGGCTTAGCTTCACTGTCTCAGGCTCACTCCTCTGGCAAATCTGGTCAATGGAACTTGTGTCTCAATGACAGAAATCTAGAGTGGAAATTCTTTATCAGGACAAGCTGTTCCATTTCACCATTTCCACTTTACCATTTGTGACTCAGTATATAGATCGCAAGGATCTGGTTTAGAAAGTCTAGTTAGTGAGTCCAAGAATAACCCAAATATTAAGTGAACATAACATCAAAGTGCTTATGAAACAGATTTTCTCAAATAGTTTTGGTGTTTAGCAACTTCCTCCCAATCCAGCTACAGAATCCTCTCTGGCATTGAGATGTGGAAGGTGCTGTCTCTCTAAAAATAGGCTCACCCCATGCTATGTGAATCATGGTTACTAGCAGCAAATCAACAGATTAATTATTTGGCTTTGTTAGTAACGATAATCACATACTATCATCTTCCCAAAAGCTCTTCTGCACCCTACACTCCTACTCTTCTAACTAAGCTTCAAAACAAACTGAAGTCCATGGTGGACAGATGCATGCATGTTGCCCTTGCAGTGAGCATATCTTAACAGGTCCTGTCATCTCTCTGCCAGATTATTTCTGTGGCACTTAAGCTAAAGGAATTCACCGGTCATGATCCTCTTTGCCAAAATGTACACTAAGTAGATGAGAAAGAGGGAAAGATTAAATGAACGCTGAACAAACAATAAACTCAGCAATTCCCTCAAATTCTCTATTTTCTAATGAGATGCTAAGGAAAGGACCACGGAAGCAATTTCCTCATGTAAAATTAAGCCATACAAATCACTCATCTCCAAATCAACTTCAACAAATTTCAGGTGAGTTTATCTTATCCATTTACAAACATAATCCACCCAAAGTTTTGATTACCTTGTTTGTAATTGAGGAGGCCGAGAAGAATCTATTTACAACAATATTATCCCAACTAGAGTGCAAGAACATACTTCAGAGACTGATATGAGTCACATGGAACTCAGAGCCTTGAAGTTCCCTGTAGACCACATAAACCCTGAGAGAAGATGACCCGCAAATGATCCCTGCACAACAATACAAGGGATTTTATTTTCCCCTAAAATGAATTATTTACTGTGGAGAGATAACTCTAGTTTTTGCATAAATCTTCTCTTTGTAAGATGAACAGACTATATTAATTGAATATAAAATAACAGACTTTAGTAGTTCCTGCCTTGGAATCATAATTATTTTTGTTTATGCCTGAAATTTACTATTTCATCAACATCAAAGTATACGAAAATGAGCCCACTATGAAGTGAATAATGTCATGAAACCTCAAGAGAAAAATAAGATGAGATAGCTCTTCACAAGGCTGAATCCCAAATTTCTAAGTGAATTCGGAGCCCCAGCTGTCCAGACTTTCCAAGTGTTTTCTTCACCCCAATGACCCGAGCCCACATGCTTCATTCCTGGAACCCAGGACAACATCACAGTCAGAGCTGCAAAGACACTAACTTAAAGCAGTCAAGAGCAAGCTTTCTTTCTAGAAAGTATTTCCTTTCAGTTTTCCACAGAAAGGGTAGACCATCTACAGATTGCAAAGGACACTGGGGGCCACACCCAGAGGATCAATAGAGTCTGGAAGGAGCACAGACCTTGGAAATTTTGTTTTATTCTCTTAAGTTATCCTTGCTTAAATCAGGAAAAAATCACTTTCCAAAATTTCAAGGCATCCAATTTCCCTTTTAAAAACAGAGACACATCGAAGACTAACCATTTGAGTTTAGTGCCAAAGAAGAGACTCAGCTTTAGAAAGGCCATACCTAGATCTCTGATAAGTCTAAAGTTTTCTTTACACTCCATGAGGCCAAACTGCAGATACTCTGTTGTTCCCTTAATGTCCAAAAAGTGTGAGTGTGCAAAGGATGGGAGTAATAGAACGGAAAAGTTAATGAGCAGAGCCATTGGAAACCATGAGAGCAGCGGGAGGAAGGTAATAGGAAAAGGAGGTCGGTATAAAAGGAAGTAAAAGGGCATGGGTGAAAATGAGGAGTGAGAAATTGACCAGAATGTCAGAAAGATGCAATATCATGTGTTGCTAGAGAAAGAGTTAGAAAAAGAGAATAAATTTAAGCTCATCTGGTGTCTACCAAGTGTCTATTATGTGTTATGAATTGTGTTTATATGGTATGAGAGATATAGGGAGGAAGGTTTATTTATATTTCGGTCCTTAGTAGACAGATTAAACACTGGATGGATGGATGGATGAGAAAGAAAGAGAGGGAGAATAAGGTGGTCACTATCCTTAAGGACTCTACAGGCTATGTAGGATCAGGAGCAGTTATATATGTAACTCTCATCCTAGTCAAACCGTGTTTTTTTCATCCAGGTATGAAATGTTTTCCTGAATATGGGACAAGAAGCTAATAACAGAGGGTGATTGAAAGATGTCTGGAAATTGAGGGAGGAAGGGGACCAGAATGGAAGAGGGGGATCGTGGTTCTCTTCCATGGATGTCCCCAGGTGCCTTGCAGAAGGGGATCCCCATGTGTGCCTTGCAGAAGGGGAGGGGGTGTTAGCCTCTAGGGAGCCCACCGTCTGGGCTTCTACTGACCTGGTCTCCTCCTCACTGGCCTCTTGCGGCCGCTGCAGAAGCGCACTTTGCTGAATACCCCGAGGACGTGCCTCTCGCACAGGGAGCGCCCGTCTTTGCTGGGGCTGGAACGGCGCTTGGAGGCCGACACCCGGTCGCTGTTGGACTCCCTCGCCTGTCGCTTCTGCCGGATCAAGGAGCTGGCTATCGCTGCAGCCATAGCTGCTCAGCGTGGGCCCCAGGCCCCGGGCTCCACTGCGCCCTCGGGATCACGCTCCGCCGGGGCGAGGGCAGGACCTTGGCGGCCTGGAGGGACAGGGCAGGCGCGGGGAGGCAGTGCTAATATTTGAGAAGGCTGCAGTACCGAAAACCCGGCGCCCACAAGGTTAGGCAGTCTGGGCAGTGGCGACAAAAATGTGTGAAAATCCAGATGTAAACTTCCCCAACCGCTGGCGGCGGGGGCGGGGCGGTCCCAGGCCTTCCTGTTAACTAGACTCTTGCACCCCGAACTTGCACCCCAACGCGATCCGTGTCCAAGGGGCAGTGGGGAGTTTGGTCACACTGCGATCGGAGTACCAAGTGGAAGGGGAAGAAGGTTGTCCAAAACAAAAAGCCGTGCCCCTGTTGGAGAGGCGCAAGCGTTGTAAGGTGTCCAAAGTATAGCTACACATATACATATAAAACCCGTTTACAAAGCAGAGTCAGGACCGAGGCGGGTAGCGTGCCCCCGGTAGAAAATACTAAAAAGTGAATAAAACGTTCCTTTAGAAAACAAGCCACCAACCGCAAGAGAGGAGAGGAAGGCAGCAATTTAACTCCCTGCGGCCCGCAGTTCTGAAGATTAGGAGGTCCGTCCCGGCTGGGTGAGGTCTACGGAATGCATCGCCCCGGCTGCGGTTCTCCCGGGCGCCCGCCGCCCGAGTTCTGGAATTCCGAGAGGCGCGAAGTGTGAGCGGTTAGCCGGAGTCGGGGTAGGGGCGCCAGTCGGGGACAGCTGTTTCCAGCTGCGGTGAGCGCGACTCCCCGCCAGCAGCGCTGCAAAGAGAGCGGGAGGCGAGGCGAGGGGGGGGGGGCGGGAGGGAGGGAAGGGTAAGGAGGGAGGGAGGGAGGGAAGGAGGGAGGGAGGGAGGGAGATCCTCGAGGGCCAAGCACCCCTCCGGGAGAAACCCGCGAGAGGCGAGGCGAGCGCCGCGGATACGCGGGGTCCCAAGAGCGGGCGCTCTTTCTCTTTCCGCTTTCTTTCTGGCACAAGACGGGCACAGTTGGTGATTATTTAGGGAATCCTAAATCTGGAATGACTCAGTAGTTTAAATAAGCCCCCTCAAAAGGCAGCGATGCCGAAGGTGTCCTCTCCAGCTCGGCGCCCACACGCCTTTAACTGGAGCTCCCCGCCATGGTCCGCCCGGGGCCGCCGCACCAAGCCGCTCTCCGCACAGGCTCAGAGGGAGCGAGGGAAGGAGGGAAGGAGGGGGCGCCCTGGCGGGCTCGGGATCAGGTCATCGCCAGGCTGCCCGGGGCCCCCAGGCTCGCGCAGCCCGGCAGTCAGCGGCTCA